TTTACCCTCTCTGCAGAGATGGTAGCTCCTACCAAACTTTGGGGGGTGTACTTGCTTTTTAAGTAGCCAACAAAGAAAATAAAGTGATAAAGTTGTTTTGACAGGTGATGCAAAATTTCCAAGTTATAAAGTCTTGAAATATCCTAAAGAATCTAAAAACATATTGGTGTAAAAAGAACTTCATTTTCTTGCTGGTTATTGACATCTAAATCTTGGAAGAACAAGACATGGTGATAAAACTTTTTGGTACTGGTAATGCTTAATTTAATGCATGTACCAAAAATACCCAAATCTTCAGTGCTCTCTTGCCTGAAAGAAACTGTGCAAATGCACATGATTTGGTGGAAGGAAAGCAAGAGATATCTTCAATGTGAGATTAATCTTCTGTCTTGGCAAATTTGGTGTACACATTAATACTAAGTGAATTCTGAAATGAGAAAATGGGGATTGTCCCAAACAGGAAGTCAATACTTCTGTACCAAGCTAATATAATTAGGTAGGGAGGGTATAATGTGAAATTTCTATAAAAAATATCAGGCCATTCAATTACTGAAAAGTATCATTTCAACTGTGGGATTGAAGTTGTTCTTCAAATTTGTTTTGGGGTGTTGTTGGTTGAGTTTAAATTGGATCTGAGTTTCTTTAAAGAGATGGGTGAGCATTGAGTAAAGTTTTGCATAATAGTTCTAGGTCAAAGTAGCACAAGAAGTAAGGAAAGGTGACATGAATTACTAATTACAAACTTCAAATTCTTTTTATAGGCAATTTAAAGGGGTATTTCGTATTGGGTTTGCTATTGAAAAATTGGCATCTTGTTGACTATTCTTGGCATTGATGTTAAATGACTTAAAAAGACATAATAAAAAGGAGGACAAGTAAGATAAGAAAATTAAAAATTAGACACGTCACAAATAAAATTCATTGAATTATTTGATTTAAGATAAAATTTTACATTTTCACATATAATTCAAAAAATAAAAAAAAAGAAAACATATATAATAAATAGGGAAATAACTCTTAAATAGAAAAAAATGTTAATCTACAAGCGAAATGGTATTATTTTTGCGTTTATACCTTTTCTCCAAAAAGAAATTGAAATTATTATTAAAAAAAAAGGGCTGAAAATCATATGAGCTTAGTTGCTAGTGCATGTTTCATGGGGTTTCAGTCCGGTATAGACAGAATATTCAATGAGCTTTGTGAGCCCATGATGCAAGGTTTTCAAGCTTTATGGGCTTTCTTCTAACATAGTTAAGTCGTAGCTCGAGCTCCACTGAACCAAACTTTCACTGCTACAGCTAGGATTTAACTATATTAACTAATTATACTAGAAAATATGGATTATATATCAACTAAGAAAAAAATTAAGAGCATTATATGTAGTAATATATATAAAAATTGTCACCAGAAAAATTAAAAGGTAGGAATATTAACTTTGCAATTACTTGCGGGAGGAAAATTAAAGGCTAGTAAAATTAGAAATATATGATTCTAGAACATGCATTGCATTTTGTTCCAAAGGTGTTGGTAGCCACCATTTTCAAATATCATATAATTACTATTAAATTGAGTTACACTGACTCACCCATCATCAAGCAGAAAAGCCTAAAACATAATGAAAAAAGGGAGAAGCTAAAATTTTCAAAAAGAAACATCTTCAATCATTATTATATCTCCCATTTACAGCAAAAGTCCATCAAAAATGATGGTGGAGGTAAGTGGTTGTGATTTTCTGAGTCAGATTACTTGAACAATGGTTTTCCTTTTCCCCTTTTTTTTCTAAAAGAAAATTAAATCTTAATCCACTCATATGTTAATCTTAATTAATCACCATTTTAATAAGCTTAAAGTGATTCTCTGCTTTCTGCAATTGGGATTTGTGATTATCAGATATAGCACAAGAATTGTGATAGCTTCAAAGCCAGTGTGACCAAATTTTCACTGATTGGCTTTTGTTTCAAATGGTTCAACCTGCATTCTGGATAAATCAATTACATTGATAGGTCGAAAGATATGGGACCTTCACTTACTCTTTTTCTCCTTTCATTTTGGGAGTATAGTCAGCAATGACAGACCCAAGTTTTTTTTTCCTTCAAATTCTGAAATAATTTTCCAACTCCCAAAGTTGTTCTTAATTCTTTCTAAAAGAAAGTATCAATCAGGTTATGTTTATAACTTACATAACTCTTGAACCATGAGAAGTTATAATACCATTGCCTTAACCTTTCAATATTGTATTAAAAGATTAAAAAACAAATTCATAATTTTCTAACATATTAACAAAACACCCTTATCAATCCTCTCAATCTTAAAACACTGATTAGCATTTGACATTACCAAATGTAAACACTGAAAATTAAGCTGATGCCAGCTGTGCTGATATCCTTTTAGAAATGGCGGCCTTTGACTAGCCACAAAATCTGAAGCGTGGGGCTGAGCAATGAGCATGCATGAATTTGAGGATTAAATCATTTCCACCTTTCTGCTTTACTCCCCCCATTTTAATCTTAAGCTCTACTTTCCCGTGAATAGGAACTTTATCTTTCCTTATCTTATCCAAGAAGACAAAACTCTCTTACCATTCAACACAAGGCCAAAACCTTAAACTCGATGCCTTCCATTGTTTTGGAAACCACCCAAAAAGTATTGGTCAAATTTGGTGCCTCCCTCTTCCTTCTCAATCTCCCCTTCATCCATGTTCTTTTCCAAAGTAAATTCGAAGAAGCAATATCTAGTCAATCCCAGATGCAATATGAAAATGACCAGCCAGCGCCGAAAGAAAAACAAGAAAATTGTTTTAATGTCCTTGTTGAACATTTCTCTAATAAAATATTAATATAGTTTTAAACCTAAAAGTTACTCACATTCTGATATTGGATCTGGATTCCAACCTATCCAGACAACTTAGCCATCACATGTTTTAGCTGATGGATCACATGCTGAATAAGAAAAGAAAAATATTTCAAAAGAAATGCGTTCCAAAAGTAATTTATGAATTTTCCTATTTTTTTTTTTGGGTAAACATGAAGAGATTTGATCTCGTATATTTTGATATCAAGTTAGCTAACAGTAGCTTCCCACATAAAATATGTGAATGTCTTTATCAGTCCATTGAACAAAAACAAAAGTGGTTTAAGCACTTGCATTGAACTTTCAATTCTCTCCTAGAATTATTAGGCTTTGTAACTGTTTTAAGTGATGTCATAAGGTGGACTTAGAATTTTCAAGTGGGGCAAAAATCCTAGCGTTAGGTAAGCATCTTGGCAAGTTCTCTAAATTAATCTGCAGTTGCTTGAGCTTTGTTCCCATATACGAAAAAGATGGCATGCAGTTTTCACACCCCACACTGCTCATGGTTTTAGCTGATCATTTGCAGATTGCAACAAAGAAAGGACCACAAGAAAGTGTCGTTTTTTTTTCAAATTGAGTGCATTGCTCACATTTCTGAATGATATATCTCTGGCTTTTTCCAGCTTGTGTTTTGATTTTCCACTCCAGGTCGTAAATCCATCATGCTTAGAGTGAGAGGACGTTATTAGTGGAATATATAGACATCTGTATGTATACTTTTCTTCGATGTTGATTAATCCAGTGCTAGGCTCTTATTCCACCATCTTCATAACAAGCCTTCCCATTCCACATTTGGCTCTCGCATTTCTGTCAATCGAATGTAAACAGATTTGAGATTTTGTTTTCTTGGATTCTAGAATCAAAAGTAATGGCAAAATTTAATTCAACAATATATTTACCATTATGGCCCAAACAGAACATGGGAAAATGGTATAATTAATTAATTAAGAATCAGAGTGATGTTGCAGTACTTTTTACTTATTGTTCAAAGAGAAATCTGTTAATCTCCCTTAATCATAATGCTATTACAATTGGGCAAGCTTTGTTCTTCATTGTTTCAAAGTTTGCAACTAATTTTCCCTCTTATACCAAACGTGTTGGTTGGGCAGATGAAGAGAAACAAGAACCCCGCTGAAGTAGCTTACTTTTCCCTCTTTCCCTATGAAATATCCTTCTTAATTCGAATACCCTTTTTCTTTTTCCTCTTTTGGGGGAGAATATGCATCTTTTTAGAGTATTCCCCCAACGTTTCTTTTAAACTTATTTTCCTATTGCATTTCCTTTTGGATTATACATGAAAACAAAGTTGCTATCATTCGTTTGCAACAAGTAAGAATCTAACTTATCATCAACTATAGCTTTAATAATTTTTGGATAATTGGAGATAATTTATAGCTTGTACTTCATATTTAAGTATTGGTCACAACAAAATTAATGCGTGGCCACAAAATGAAGAAATATAATCCCATAGATAGAGACTCAAACTAGAAGTCAAAAGAAGGTTGTTTTGCTGCCAAGCTGTGGCAGAAAGGAAAATCTTATTCTCCAAAAATGGAATACAAACTTGATAAAGTCAGGCATTTCCCAACCCCAACAAACCAGTAATTGTGTGGTGTTAAATACTAAGACACGTTTCCCAACCCTGTGGATAAACATTGCCTCATCAAACCCAGCCCCCATGGTTTCCTTCGCTTCATATTTCTTCAACAGCCAACGAACACATTGGGTCAACAACTTTGTCTTTGATCTTATCAATTTTTTTCCTTCCAATTTATATTATGCTTTTAACAAGTTGACCTATCCTCTTCGTTTTCACACTTGCAATATTCCAAGAAACCGAAGACTTAAAAGCCTTAAAAAAAAAAAAGAACAAAACTCAAATTTGCTTTTTAACCTTCGATTAACAGTGCTACGTACCACCCGGCAACCTTAATCAAGTGCCGTTGGTTGACTAACTAGCCGTCAAAGAAAATTAAAAACCCAGCAGTTAAAAAAAAAAAAAACCCACAGACAAGAGAATAGCCACGTGGAAAGATCCAGGCGGTGGTGACCCACTACGTCCTCCATTTCGTACCTCGTGCTGATGTTTTTGACTATGGCCCTCGACTTCTATATAAACCCACCCTTGTCCTCTTGCCTATTCCATTCCATACATTAAAAACTACTCGCTTTCTTCTTCACTTCTTCATTCCACAGAGAGAAAAGAAAAGGAGGGAAGCTTTGTTTTCTTAGGTGATATACATAGTAAGAGAGTTTGGTAACCATGCCAGCAGGTGGATTCTCATCGGTGCCACCGGCGGGGGTGGAGTTTGAAGCTAAGATCACTCCCATCGTCATTATTTCTTGTATAATGGCAGCCACCGGCGGCCTCATGTTCGGTTATGACGTCGGTGTTTCTGGTAAATCATCTTTTTATAGCTTGCATGCATGTTTAAATCATTAATGAACAATTAACCGAAAAGAAGTCCAGCCTTTTTCCCTTTCAAATATCTTTTGGCTTATTTAAAGGTTTCTTTTAAATTCTTTATTATATAATTTAACCACGTTTTACTAAAAAAAACCATTTTAGGGTTTAATTAAGGTTTGAATTTGTGAAAAGAAATGAAAAAGAAGAAGTAACACTGCAAACAAAAAGAAAAAAAAGAAAGCAGCTTTTCTCCCGCCAAAGAGACAATGGTTGTTTCGGAATTCTAGTCTTTCTGGCTTCATAATGCCGTTGACGAAGGAGTTCCGTTGACGGTTGTTGGTGGAGCCCGGTAGTTGCTCCTATAGTGGTAATATGTTCATTTTTGTTCAAATTACCACTTAACTTATCTCCGAATTTCCTTTTTTATTCCATAAAAAATAGACTAAATAAAAAAAAAATGCCTCTCGAGAAAATGGTAATTACCTTGTCACATGGCTTTGTTAGTAAGAAAAACATGCCGACATCGAGAGATAACTGTTCTTGGCCATGAAAGGAAATTATTGAGAGTACATCTGTTAAATTACTTAATTGTTTTTTACATTTGGATTGAGATATATGACCTTTACTTTAATGCATTATTAATTTTCTTGTCCATCATTCAAGCAATAGAAAAAAGAATTCATTATGTTGTAATAATTTTATTCAATTAATTAATTGACTTTTTCTGATGTAGGTGGAGTTACATCCATGCCGGACTTCTTGCGAAAATTCTTTCCCGTGGTTTATCGTCGGACAAATGACCCAGGAATCAATGGAAATTACTGCAAATATGATAATCAAGGCCTGCAACTGTTCACTTCATCGCTCTATTTGGCTGGTTTAACGGCCACCTTCATTGCCTCCTATACCACTAGGAGGCTAGGTCGCCGGCTCACCATGTTGATTGCTGGTTTCTTTTTCATTATTGGTGTTATTCTTAATGCTGCTGCTCAAGACCTTGCCATGCTTATTATTGGCAGGATATTGCTTGGTTGTGGAGTTGGTTTTGCTAACCAGGTAATTTAGATTTACGGATTTTTATTATATATATTTTAACTTTATATATATAGATATACATAAATATACCATGTTGAAAGTTTGATTAATTTCTTTTAGGTTCTTAACATCAAGTACCAAAAAAATTGATACATTGAATTAGGACTTATCGGAGTTGGGCCAATGCGTGAAATTGGTACATATAAATAAAAGTAGAATACCTAATTAAGGTAATTAAAGGCAAAAACGCGTTTGTTTTTGGGTTGTCTGCAGTTGAGGTTGCCTTATCAACATCACTGGATTCCCCTTTCAAGAACAGTTGGCTATATGATCAGTTGGATCTATTGGTTCCCAATAAATGGTGATCCATGACTTTATAAATTATATATTTTAATTGATGATGATAATCACACCAATTGAATTATGGCTTGTCGGACACTTGCCGATCCATCGGCTTTTTAATGAGTCAAAACCTCCATTAATTTCCTCAAATTCTTACATCTCCACCACTCCCTTCCCAGCACGTATAGAGCAGAAAACTCTTGAACTTGTCGGTTGGCGTAGTTTTGTAAGAAATAGGGACCGACCTTTATGACCCAATGCTCCAAATAACAATTGGTTGATTATATTAATTAATTAGCTATAGTCTGATAATTAAATTATTACTTCTTGTTTAGTTTGCTTTTTTTCCTCATTGAGTCTTAGTCATCACCCAGTTTGTTTTTATTATCAGCTTCACCTTTTTATCTATAATTATATTCTGAGGTTTGACGTTTGATACATGTGATTGTGACTCTTTTCACTCCATTGGCTTAATTTAACGAAGGCATCATATGAAAAAGATCTTTTAGCTTGTTTTTATCCAGAAAGAGTCTTCAAAAGCAGCTTTCTTTACATTTTCTTCTTGCTCTTTGGAATCTTTTTTTTTTTTAAATCTTTTTTGAAAAGTGTTCTAGGTCCCCTATGAATTACGTGATGCCTTGTTGACACTTTGTCACTATCTCTAGTCTTCACTTGTGTGATGTACGTTTTTGATTTGTTTATCTTATCTTTTGTATTTACTTGGACCTTAAATTCAACTTCCCTATGTTCAAACTTCGTTAGCTGATGGAACAGTAGCGGTGCATAGGGATTCAAGCTTTTTCCTTTTATTTGTTTGAAATAGACAATTTTTTTTGAAAAATGAAATATATATTATAACATTTAGTATCAAATGTTCAATTACGGTTCCAAAATTGATTTGATTATATGTGTCCAAAGATATTTATATATATTTTTAATCATACCTACCACATCAAAAGTGGTAACGTGTATAACATTGAAAATTAAAAGCATAGTGACACAATTTGACTATATAATGATAAATTTTACTTAATTTGAATTTGATTTAGTTAAAATTTGAAAATTTTGATTTAAATTACTGAATTGCTCGTGTTGCAAATTGAATGCACAATAGGCTGTGCCACTGTTCCTATCGGAGATAGCACCCACAAGGATTCGTGGAGGGCTAAACATATTATTTCAGCTTAACGTCACCATCGGAATTCTCTTTGCCAATCTGGTCAACTACGGGACTGCCAAGTAAGCCTCTTTCTCCCTCTTACTCTTATACGTTTCTTCATTTTTAAAGCGAGTTTTTGTTGGGCCAAACGACAGAAATTAACGGCTGAAATGATGCTTTTTCTATGAATTAAAATTAAAATCAGTATTATTTTAAACATAGGGGAAAGATTATATGTCTGTAACTGTTGAAATTAAGTGCGGTACAAAGTACACGTACCCCGTTGCAGAATTGTTTAGTAGTTTGAAGGTGGCAGCTGCTGCCATGAAAACTACCAATTTCGTATTCTAAAATACTCCCAATTATATATTTCTCGACACCTGTTAGCAGTTGACACCTGAGAGTCAATAATTGCATACTTATTAAGCAAGTAAGCAAGACATTGGCAGATGATAGTGTTATTCCAGGGAGTCTCTAACTCGAATTCAAAGATGCCATTGATAAGTCTAACTTGGTTATTTTTTTAAGCAAAAAGCTTGCTGTCTTTTATCCTTCGGAGCCGTATAATTTCTTTGGCTGGAATAGCATAGTCAATATGAACTTTTGAAACTGTGTTTTAATCCCAATTAAATGCTTTGAATGCTAGCTTAAGATGGTCAGGTTTGATCATTCAATTGACTTTACATACTATAATGTGGATAATTCATAGCCCTCTCTTGAGGGGAGTCTCTGCAGTCTGCTAGATCTGGGACCATAAAAATAGGCTCTGCAATTCATGCCTCGAAACTGTGAAGACATCGAATAGGAAAGAATTAGTTTCAGTTTTAAATTACCAAGCAGTTTGAAATAATTTATTTTAGTATAATAATTGCATTAGTAAAGATCCATTGACAGAATTTGCTGTAATGATACTCAAGGATTTTGTTACCTTGTTGCCAATAATTCGTTTCTGGTTGATAACACCCTTCCAAAGTGCAAAATAGTATATGCAAACTTTTTCAAGAAAAAAAGGGAACGTCGATTTGCTTTGAATAGGACAATGATGACTCTTAATCGTTGCTCGTCTCCACGTTTTGGAGATAATAATGTCTTTTGGCGGTAGTCATCAATCAGTCATTTCCTTTTGCATTCAGACTAAATTTTGGCCTTTTCTTCTGACTCTCATTGATGCTTTGCTTTGCAACAACAGAATTAACGGAGGATGGGGTTGGAGGCTATCATTAGGATTAGCCGGCATTCCAGCACTTCTCTTAACCGTTGGCGCCCTCCTGGTGCTTGACAGTCCTAACAGTCTCATCGAGCGTGGTCACCTGGAAGAAGGAAAGGCTGTGCTCAGAAAGATTCGGGGCACAGATAATATTGAGCCTGAGTTCCTGGAGCTTGTTGAGGCAAGTCGCGTGGCTAAACAAGTGAAACACCCTTTCAGGAATCTCCTTCAGCGCAGGAACCGCCCCCAACTTGTCATTGCAATTGCTCTGCAGGTTGGTGCTTAAGATGGCAGCTTCTTGTTGCTGATTCAGCTTCAAGGATTAGATGGAAATATAGATTGACTATCTAATGATAATGTTGATGCATGTCTGTTGGTAACATTAGCAATTCTTACTGACATGTCCCATTTTCTTTTGAATACTTGGAACAGATCTTCCAGCAATGTACGGGTATCAATGCTATCATGTTTTATGCTCCAGTCCTGTTTGACACACTAGGATTTGGCAATGATGCTGCCCTTTACTCTGCTGTGATCACTGGGGCTGTCAATGTGCTCTCCACCATTGTATCCATTTACTCAGTTGACAAAGTGGGCCGTCGCGTGCTGTTACTTGAAGCCGGTGTCCAGATGTTTTTCTCTCAAGTAGTCATAGCAATTATTCTAGGATTCAAGGTTAAAGACCATTCTGATGATCTCCACAAAGGTTTTGCAATCCTAGTTGTTGTTATGGTGTGTACTTTCGTGTCAGCCTTTGCTTGGTCTTGGGGGCCTCTTGGTTGGCTGATCCCTAGTGAAACATTCCCCCTGGAGACCCGGTCGGCAGGCCAGAGTGTGACTGTTTGTGTTAACTTGCTCTTCACCTTTGTTATAGCTCAGGCTTTCCTCTCAATGCTCTGCCACTTCAAGTTTGGAATCTTCTTGTTCTTCTCTGGCTGGGTCCTGATCATGTCGATCTTCACACTGTTTCTACTACCCGAGACGAAAAACGTTCCAATTGAAGAGATGACTGAGAGAGTGTGGAAGCAGCACTGGTTTTGGAAGAGATTCATGGATGATGATCATGAGGGAGCAGGTGTTGCCAATGGCGATATTGCAAAGAAAAATGGGCATGCTAATGGTTTTGATCCAACTTCCCAGTTGTAAATTTGTGCTGTTTCTGCTTACGTCTCAGTACTTCACAAAAATAGATGCATTAGAGAGTAGACAATGGATATAGGTATCAGACAAATGTATGACTACTGTTATTAAAAGTCCTGGTGAAATTGTTGCGAGAGTATTTGATGTATAATAGTGGCTATCAAAAATCAATCTTTGTGCACCAGATGTTAAAGCAGGATAATGTTTTCCTGCTGAGTTATAATCATTCCTTGGCAGAATTTTTGATCTGCCTGCAATATATCTTGGATCAATAAGTTCTATCAATGGAATAACCTCAGTTTTCCAATTTCTCTCTGCTCCTAACCCAAAGAAGAGAGCAAATTCTACTGGCGTATCTTCAACCTTAACCAATGTAAATTCCCTGTTAGAAAATTTTGTCTGCAACAAGATTATCAGTTACTGGGTACCAAATGAGGCCTTGGAAAGGATCAGAGAACAACACTGCCAACTATATTAGGATGGGTACATAGGGGACAAGAATGAGCCCATATTCAAAGTTGTATTTGTCTGAACTGAAAGGCTTCTTCTTCATCTAACTGGCCCCTTAGCCCCAAGCGGGGTGTTTTGCCAACCTAACACGAAGTTTTGTTCACAGCAAATTTTCCACTGTTACTGCTGATAGAAAAGTAGCTCTCCCAGTCATATCCTTGTCCTAACACAACTTAGACTGGTTGTTTGTTGAGATCGGTAGTGCGCCGAAGGTTGACGCTGAAGCAAAGAAAGAAGAGAATGTCAAATTGGTAAAGGGTCTATTTACTTGAAGACTTAAACTTGTCTTGTATAGCATTTTCCCTTCAACCTAGTACCCGAATATATCCATACTTGAGATCTACATGAAAAAGAACTTGCAGCAGAAAATCTTGATTTAATTTTAAGTAAAATTCGATTTTAAATTAATTCGTGATAGATGGAGTGATTTTTATATATAAAAAATACTCCAATTTGATTAATGTAAAATATTTTTTTTATCGTCCTTCTAATACTCTCTTACATGTAAAAATAATAAATTTATAACGAAAGATGAACTTTACGTATGAAAATAATGAACTTAGTAAGTCAATTTTCTCACAGAAACAGTTCCAAACTCCTCTCCCTGTTAACGAACGTCTAATTCAGTCTCGCCGATGTCAACAGTGCTGACAAATGCATTTATCGTTACAAAGCCAAAAAGTAGAGGATACAATCTCATCAGTAGTTATTGCATATTATAACATAGTCTAGGAGAAAGTAGTAAGCTTAATAGTTGTCTTTATTTTCTTTGATGAAATGAACAAGAGACAACAAGAAATGTAAGCTGTATACTTGTACTGGGGGACTATGCCATTATGGCACTCGCCAATAAAGAAAAAGATATACATGTAGTGCCAATGTGCCATCATGGCAGCCTAGCATTCCTTGTCGAATATGAACTTGGATCTGCATTTCTACAACTTACCAACAGCCCTCCACCATTCTTTCCTTTCAAGCGTTTCAAGCATTGCCCTGAAGTCTAAAACATGGATAATGATGATGCAAACAGCAAAAATTGGGTGTGGCAACAACCGTATATTTAGTATTTGTCTTTTCCATCTGTGTTGCTATTTTGTTAAGTCATAATCAAGAATCATGTCCTTTTCCCTTTGATTTATCTCCTCTCTCTGTTTTTTTTTCTTCCTTAAGTAATTTGTTGGTCGTAGTTTGTTGAGGTCTGGTCTGTTTCTTCATTGATGTAATCTCAGTGGGGGAACCCAATATGCATGATTAAAAGAAAAACAAAATAAAACAAGGACGGCGGTTGATTTTTGACAACCCATTATAGGAAATTATCTACTATACTAGCATTAACCCATTGCTTTTATAACACGAATAGAAGCTCTGTTTATCAGAAATGAATTAAAGCATCATTAAGTAACGTTAATAGACTGCAAAAGTCCTAGCTAGGTGACTGATTTTGTAGCTGATGCTCACCTGCCATAATTTTATGTTTGTCATCCTCCATAAGTACAGGGGAGACAAAACAACAGCAGAGAGGTTAATCCTACAGCAGTCTGGGTACTGTTTCTGTTGTTTCTTAATGTTTCACTCTTTCATAGTCAATAAAACCTGCATACCAATAGTAAATTTCAATAATGTTTTTCTGTTTGAAAATAACATTGAGACCAGGGAGTTAGAAGATTGTAAAATCTATTTTCCTGACAAGAAATGTGGGCCTACACTTATGTAACATGTACTAGAAAGTAGAAGGAACATTAATATCAACTTGTAGAAGGAACATTAATATCAACTTGGATACTCCCTTGTCCTACCGAAAGGGAGATTTAACCAGCCTCCAAAGGAAGATAAGAAGATTGAAAACTTCCAATCCTATGTGACTTAATTCCATCGTGCTCTCAATCTCATAAAGATAAAGAAAATAGTCACTTCAGTTTAATTAGTTAGGATGAATGCTGTCAATTTGCAATAAAGAGGGACCATTACCATAAATATAAGAAAGTAGGGGACCATACTCCGAAAGTAACTGAAAATTTTAGATGCCCCAACGACCAAACCAAGTTTAGTCCGAAGGATTTATAAAGACCTCCAGAGACAGAGCTTCTTCCCATCCTCACTAACCCTGCCAAAGAAAACCCATAAGACCCTCTTCTCCTTAACCCGGGGCGTAGAACACAGCCCGTCAATTGCCAATTTGCCATGGCTTTAGCAGAAAGAGTTGTGGCTCAGGCTCTTCTGCTAGTGATGGCTGCCTCGCTGCAGTTGTCCCATGCAGCTGTTTACAAGGTTGGAGACTCTGGTGGTTGGACCAGCATTGGCAATATAGACTACAAGCAGTGGGCTGCTACTAAGACCTTCCAAGTTGGTGATATTATTCGTAAGTTACCCTTTTAGTTTGTCCTTTATAGTTACTCTCTGCTAGTATTCTAGGTGATCATTCAATATTTAGCTTACTTTGCTCCTTTTTTTCATCTCTAATTGGGTACCCTCTTAGCGAATAGTTTTTTGGGTATACTGAAGCTCTTCCTTACAAAAGCTTGCGTTCTTTACAAGCATGTTTTGCCTCTAGCTATTTTCTTCCCGTTATGGTCCACCTCTTCCAATTATTTTGTGTTGAAGAGAATTTCCAGGAGTTAAACTTCCAAGCAATTTCCGGCGAGATTTATCTGTGAAATAATATAGTTCTCTGATAAATGTTCCCGAAGGCTATGTCACGGATCATTACTCTTTCTTTCATAAACGCGTTTATAAGGATATGCAGTACACCCGTTTATGAAAAATTCAAGATTTTTCATTCTTGTCTGATGTGAGGTAGAGACACTTTCTTTGTGACACTTTCTCCCATTCGATTCCTACAAAGTCCTCGTTGTCGTTTGCCACTCTGACTACCCTGAATCTGGGTTCGAACGCTTGACGTGAGTCAAATGAAATTTGGTTCGCTCTGATACCACTTATTACGGGATCATTATTCTTTCTCTCATAAATACATTTATGGAGGTGTATAATACACCCATTAATAAGAAACCCAAAATTTTTTATTTTTATCCTATGTAAAATAGAGGTAAACACATATCCTAGGATACTTCTGCTTCCTTGCTTTTGGCTTTAGGGTATCTTCCAAGACCTGATGTTTCTTTCTCATCGGCTCCTTTCTGTTCCATCCTTCCATCCATCATTGCTCATGAGGAATTCGAATGAAACTTTTGTTGTAGGGTAGAGCATGGAAGACGCATGGAAAACAAACCTAAACTATTGTTTTCAACCGTCGTAACCCACACGGACACGGGCACCAACAGCTTGTTGGGGCCCAATGTCCAGTGTGGTCCCGCAACCCACACATTATTCTCTCCACTTCCACTTTCACTGTCGCATGCCTGTGTCATTATAGCTGACACTTCACACTGGAAGCCTAGCCAAGTTTTGCCGTGTCTGGTAGGGTGTCAAATCCATCCAGTCAATATTGCCTAAACCTACAAAAAGCGAATTAAAAATATCTCCATCTTAATTCCTTTTGATGAATTAAAGTTCAAAATTCAGATACTGTACTTCTCCCACCCTTTTTCTTGCTACTCTGAAGACATATGTCTAGGTACAATTTCTAAGAATAAACGCGTGCATTAAAAACATAGAAAGCATTAGTATATTTCAATCTAAATATAGAAACCATTTTGCTATTTCTCTGATATTTACAGGTAACCAACAACCCTATAATTGCTTTTGCCCAGAGTCAGAAAGAATAGCATCATTGAGAAAAGACAAAAGCTGTGGCAAGATACAACTGCCTCGTGAAGTTGAGGTTATTATCAAAAATTAGCTTGGTTATGGGGACAAACTTTCCTATCATGTTCGACAACTTTTTTGACGGCAAAAGTGGGGGGGTGGCGCTAGCTGTTGATGCTTAATTATATTCATCCATATGCCTTACCACTAATTTTTAGCGCATGCGTTCTTCAAACACAATTGGATCATTGTCAAAATAAAAATAAAATAAAAATAAAAATAAAAATAAAATAAAATAAAATAAAATAAACAAAATATAATAGGATCTCCTAGCTGTGTGTGAAATTTCAATAACACCGATGTTAATGACATACAGATTTTGAGTACAATGCTCAGTATCACAATGTGATGCGAGTAACCCATCCGATGTACAGGGCCTGCAATGCCACAGCCCCTTTGGCCACCTATACCACTGGCAATGACACGATTAACATTACCACAAAAGGCCACCACTATTTTTTCTGTGGTGTTCCTGGTCATTGTCAAGCAGGACAGAAAGTTGACATCAACGTGCTTCGCACATCTGAAGCAGCTCCAACTCCATCTCCATCTGGAGTTAGCCCTCCATCATTTCCTTCAGTTGGTATTCCTGCACCGTCGCCAAGCAGCGCTGCCTCTTTGAAAGCTTCGAAGGGGGGTTTCAGTAAGCTTGGTTTAGCAATGGCTGCTTTTGCAGTTTTTGTATCGGGTTTTCATTAAACAATTTTAGTTTGATTGTTCTGTTGAATTACATTAGGGTCTTGTGGGGATTTCTGGGGATGTTAGTATACTTTTTTTTGTAAGGTCGTTGGTTGCAGTGACATGTAATTCTCAAGAAATACTCTAATAATTGTATGATCAATATATTACTGAGTAGCTCCTTTATGGAAGAACGCCTTGCTAAAGTGCCTCGATTTTTTCCGGCTTTTATTGTTATCTTTTGTTTCAATAAATTCAGGAGTCATATTAACTATAAATGCTAATTGATGAATTGAACTTCCACAGAATATATTTCTTGAAGGATTCGAAAGGTTAAATCCATGTCCAAAAATTCAGTTGACTTATCAAATCAAGCAAATTGTACAAAGTTAAAACACTAAGAACAACGATAGTAACTCCACCTCCTTCAGGCCATCATATCTTCTCTGAATTTGTTGGTTTTGAGCTTAAGCTCCCTCCATCACCAACCATGAACCTTTTCCAGACAGGGTGTTTCTTCCAGACTCTGTCAACCATGACATCAATGGGGACATTCTTTGTCTCTGGCAATAGGAACAGCACAAACAATCCCATGGCAAATATCCAGGCGGCGAAGAAGAAAAATATGGAGGCACGCAAATGACACATCATTGACAAGAATGCTTGAGCTATAATGAAGGTGAAGAGCATGTTGGAGCTAACTGCAAATGCAAACCCTGCTGTCCTTGTTTCTAGTGGGAATGTTTCACTTGGTATCAGCCAACCGAGAGGACCCCATGACCAAGCAAAGGACATAACAAACAAACAGACCAGCGTCACAACAAAAGCTGCTTGCATTTTTGTCAGTGAATCGGTGGAGTGCAAGTGAACTAGAAGGATTGCTCCAATTGCAGTCTGCATCACATAACTTGCCATCAGGACTCGACATTGAAAAATAGGAGATATTGACATATAAACTTCTACAAAAAAATTTATTGCAAATCATCATCTTCAATGTAGCAAAACTGAAGCAGACCTGGCATATAAACATCTGAATACAGGCTTGGAGAAGTAGTTTTCTCCTACCAATCTTATCAACTGCGTAGACTGAGACCAGAGTACTAAGAACATTTACGGTTCCAGTAATCAAAGAGGACAGCAAGGAAGCGTCATTCTTGAATCCAACAGTTTGAAACAAGACAGGAGCATAAAACATGATGGCATTGATTCCTGTAAACTGTTGAAAAACTTGAAGCATGATGCCTATGATCAGAGGGGGCATGCTGGAACGCTTCATGAGTTTCTTGAAAGGATGCTTCACTTCCTGGGCAATTTTACTAGCTCTCACAATCTGGTCAAATTCAGAATCAACTTCATCGACACCCCTAATCTTTTTCAGTGTTTTATGTCCAGCTAACTCCTTTCCACGCTCGACCAGGCTCGCTGGTGTTTCAGTGATGATCAAGGAACCTATGCATAACATGATGGCTGGTACGCCTGCAAGCCCCAAAGATACTCTCCATCCATATGGATGCATCTTTAATGTGCCATAGTTCACCAGATTCGCTAAGAATATTCCTATGGTTACAAAAAGTTGAAAGAGAATGTTCACAGCCCCACGATGCTGGACTGGGGCTATCTCTGACAGGAACAATGGAACAGCCTGCCAGATACTTTTAGAGTCACTGGACAAATAGTTAAAAATGAAGTTTGAACCATTTTAGGCGTAAATTTTATTCACTGTCAAATATTAATTATACCTCATTGCCAAAGCCAACGCCAATGCCAAGGAGAATTCTCGCAATGATCAGCATCCAGAGGTTCTGGGCAGCAGCACTTAAAGCAGCTCCCCCAAGGAAAAATGCAGATGCCAAAAGAATCGTAGGCTTTCGGCCAAACTTGGTGCAAACCTTTGATGCGGTAAAGCTTGAAACAAGAGCAGCCAGGTACAACGAAGATGTAAAAAGCTGAAGATTCTGATCATCATATTTGCAATAATTGTTCTCCTTAGCATGCATCTTTCTTTCATGGACTTTGGGAAAGAATTTAATCAGAAAGTCGTCCATGGCTGTTACTCCACCTGCATTTATCAACAAATTCATACAATCAAAAAATGTTATCCAATATTCAAAGAACATATGACAACATATATAGCATGATTGAATTTAAACTTTTTTTTATAAATGCTTTTTTTTTTTGTTTTTTTGGCTTGCGGTTTAATTTCTTCTGTATTTAAACATTATAAAATTAAAAACCAATTATTTCTAAATACTTGAAAACACATTACTAATTATCTAAAAATTCATTTATTAACCCAAATTATACATTATAATGGTTAAATATATATAAAAACTAGGCAATAGCTTGGACCATAACCACTATATATCTACTAATTTCAAAAATAAAATTTAAGCTCGAATTTCTCCTTCTTAAGTTGGGTGCTTTGTGAATCAGTTGTCATGTTGGATTATATCATATCCTATTATGAAGATCACATATAAGGCAAAAGGGAAAAAATAATTGTAAAAGGGACGTGAGATTTAGCTAGAGATTTAAGTGAATTGTATATTTTTTATATAAAAATTAATTAAAAAAAATAAATTACTGGTTAAAGACGGAAAGCATAAGTAAAGGAAAAAAGTGGGGATCAAGTGGTTATAAGTTACAAGTAGAAGCCACATATGCAATTCCTTCATCACCCTATAAAATGAGAACAAGAAACATCATGGCTCCAACACTACAAGTTTTTCATCCTTGTATACTCAAATTCTTCATAATTAACATTAACAATTTTAATATAAAAAGATAATTAGAGAAAATTGGATAAATTAAAGAACATGGTAAAACCTGAGATTCCAATGTCGTAACCAAACATAAGGCCACCAAAAGCTGCAAGAATCCAACATACTACAACATAAAGAGTGATCTTTGATGGGTAGTCCTCAGTCTCTGCAGTCATCTCTTTACCTCCTGCGATGGGGCAACCAAACCTTTAAGCAATCCGAAGAAACAAACAAACGGAGTGGAGAAAAACTGCTAGAAAGCAATTAGGTTGATTTCGCATTAATGGAGAGGATTTTAATTGGTTTTTGGGCTATAAAATTTATAGAAATATTATTAATAAGGTCATGAATTTGGAAACACTTATTCCTCATTCAATAACATCGGTACTTATGCCAAGAATTTGGTGATGGAATTCATATGTATATGGACATTACAGGTGTACATATATATGAATTTCTATTTAAGGAAATATATATTTGGTTAGTATGGATGATGATACGTGAGAGTAAAGACCATTCTTATCTTTTGTGGTCGTTTGACGAGGTAGAATTCTTGCTGTTATTTCTATTTTGGTCGATTGTGTAGGGTGTGTGTCTTTTCACTTGCACCACACACTCGATCGTCGAAAACCGCTCTGAGAAATACAATGCAACTAAGTGCGGAAACTAGTCACATTGAATAAATGTTGTTCGGGAAATACAATGCGAAATAGTGAACCAAAGTGGGCCCGCACAAATCCCGAAATATCGGCTCTGACAGGAATGGCCCGCCCCACACCCGTCTGTGCTCCAGATGCGTGCTCGATGCTCCTGTGATCGCGTACGTGCAATCCGCGATCACTTCCGACTTCCTGACGGCCCGAAATGCGCCTCGGAAGTCCGCTGTCCGTATCTCCAAAAACGTGCGTGCGGATGACGAAACCGACGTCGCCGTTGGAACCGCAGCGCGTCAAAACCCCCGGGTAGCATCCCCGTCGAAATCCGGGTCGGTCGCCGGAGGTTGCCGGAATCCGGTCACCGGTCGTCTTCTCCGGGAACTGGTTTTCGGTCAAACTCGACCAAACCAACGCGACCAGAACTGATGCGTTAGCCTCCTCCTTGCGGTGCTCTCCGCGCCAATCGTCGCTTCTTAAATACACCTTCCGAGCATCGTTGAGAAGTGAAACCGTGGCGCGCTGATTGTGTGCTCTCCCATGTCGGTGCCGGCCGGAATCCCGCCGTCCGGCAACACCACTGCGCTCAAGACCGGGCTCTCCAAGCTCGCCTCAACACGCCGTGCAAGGATCCGCAGGCTGTGAGAATCACCTCCCTCACCGGAGAGAGATCCGAGCCCTCCAAAGGTAGCCCTCTCCTCTCTCTTTTTCTTTGTTTCGATTTGCACCCGAGAGCTCCACACCAAGCGAACGCACGGACCCCTCACCAAAGTCAAAATGGTGGGGTTACGGTGCGTCATAAAATAACAGATTGAGCCACGTAATGGATAATCTTTTTTGGTCCTTCCCAAATTTAGTTCTTTTTCCTCTAGTCTCTCTAAGTTACTGGAGGAAACAGGGAATTGTTTATTGGACCTTAAAGTGAGCTTGATAGAATTATTATAATATAATATTTTAAATAAATTTTTATTCTTTGATTACTTTCAATTAAATTTTTATATTTTTATTTTAAATTAAATAATTATTAGTCAAAATGTTAATTATTGTTTTACATTCAAATATTGTTAATATAAAAAGTAAAATATACAACATGATTATATCAATATGTTATGTAATTATCTATTATAATATATCAATATATCACACCAACGTCACATGGTATGAAGTAACAAATAATATTTTGATTAAACTATTAGTAATAAAAGTTTAATCGAACATTTTAACTAACAACAGTTAGTAAACTATTAGTTATAAGTGTTTGATTGAATGTAATTAAAAATAATAATTTATTTAAAATTTTTAAAATAATTAAAAGACTTTTTAAAGTATTTTGTTGATTACAATTTATGAGTTAAGATTGAAGTAGAGAGTTTTTAAATTAAATTCTTAGAGTATATAAAATATAGATGAATGGTGACAAATAATTATCATAATCTTTTTATATAAGAAAGAAGAGATTAGAATTAGTGGGACAATTTTTAAAATGAGGAAATACGCATAGATACAATTGTACATGATCAATCATATTCATATACGTAGACTCACTGAGTTTAGGACCCTTTAAGTGGATGCAATCCATATATTTGGGCCGTGCTTGAAAATACTAAAGCTCATGGAGAGTCGGTCCATCCCTTGTCCGTTTTTGAAACCTTTAGAAACAAAGCGAAATTCTTTGGGTTTTCTCCTTCATAAATTTTCCAATAAAAGGAAAATGCTGGTAGCTCAAAACAATATGAAAACCATCGTTCCGGACTGGCACTGGCACATGCGTCAAACACTGCCCCATTAACAGCAAATTTACAAGGAAAAAGAAAGAAAACCAGAAATTTTATTGGTGCTTTGATCATTCTATGTAGCCTCACAATGAGGCAGCTACATCAAAAGATCAGACAACCTTAACTTCTGCCTTGTACTCATCATTTACCCATGAAACGTTTCCAGAACCAATGCTGCTTCCAGACTTCGTCAACCATTGAATCAATGGGCACACCTTTGGTCTCGGGCAACAAGAACCAGGTGAAGGATCCCATGATGATAATCCAGGCAGCGAAGAAGAAGAAGATTCCGGCTTGCATGTTGCATAGCATTGACAGGAACGCTTGAGCAATGATGAAAGTGAAGAGCATGTTCGAGCTGACTGCAAAGGCAAAACCGGCAGTTCTAGTCTCGAGAGGGAAAGTCTCGCTAGGAATTAGCCAACCGAGAGGTCCCCATGACCAGGCAAAGCCCATGACAAAGAAACATACGAGGATCACCACAAAGGTTGCCTCACCACGCCCAAGATTATCACCCGTGGGCTTCAAGTCTTTCAACAGGATCACACCAATAATACTCTGCAGGTCAAATAAACTTTTTAAAGTAAGAAAATCATAGTATTTAAGTTCCCAAAATGGAATTGAAAAGGACGAGAGATCAGACTGGAAACCTGGGTAAGGAACATCTGAACGCAAGCTTCAAGAAGCAGAATTCTCCTGCCAACCCTATCCACTGCATAAACTGAGACAAATGTACTAACCACATTGACACCTCCAGTAATAACAGCGGAAGCCAATGCGGCATCATTCCTAAATCCCATAGTCTGGAAGAGAACGGGAGCATAGAACATGATAGCGTTGATTCCAGTGAATTGCTGGAAAACTTGCAACAAGATGGCAATGACTAAAGGGGGTAGGCTTGCTGGCTTCATTAGTTTGCGGAATGGGTGTTTTACTTGCCTCGCCGTCTCACAAGCATGTACAATTGAATCAAACTCGTCGTCAACATTTTCGACACCACGGATCTTCCTGAGAACTTGCCTTCCTTTCTCAACTTCGTTACGTTCAATAAGGCTGATCGGAGTCTCACAAATGACCAAAGATCCCAAGCAGAGGACCAAAGCAGGGACACCAGCAAGGGCAAGAGAAATTCTCCATCCATGAGAATGGATACCTGATGTCCAGTAGTTTATCAGATTGGCTGCTAAAATTCCAATAGTAACGAAGAGTTGGAATGAGATGTTGAGTGCTCCACGAATCTTTGGTGGAGCTAACTCGGATAAGAAAAGCGGTACGGCCTGAAATATATTATAGACAATTAGTAGTGTAATTCACAAGGATTGGTTGATGGATGATGATTAACATTATTAGCTTAGCATAATGGGACGTGTACAGGTTTCATACTTGATTAGCAAAACCAACACCACAGCCCAGAAGAATTCTCCCTATAATTATCATTTCTATGTTCAGACCTCCAGCAGTCAAAATTACTCCTATCAAGAAGAAAATTGATGCAATCTGCATGGTGCGTTTCCTGCCAGCTTTTGAGCTGACCCTTGAAGCTGCAAAACTGGCTAACAGAGCAGCAAGGTACAAGGAAGATGTGAATAACTGGAGGGACTGGCTATTATATTTGCAGTAGTTGTTTTCATGTGCATGTCGCTTCCTTTCATAAACAACCGGGAAGAATTTTTTCAAGAAATCATCCATGGATGTTACTCCACCTGTCAATCCAAATGAATTTCTTAGCACAAATTATGCAACCAAAAAGAAGAAAAAATTTCCCTGGAACTAACAAAAGAAGACAAGGATTTAATTTAAGCCAAAAACCTGAAATGCCGATGTCATATCCGAACATCAAGCCTCCAAAGGCTGCTATGATCACACAGACTATGACGTAGATCGTAAACCTGCCTTCATGTTCTGGCATGTCGCCATGGCTTGCTACTACAACTGCCGGCATATTCTCCTCTCCTCAAATATTATAATAGAGCACAGAGAGCAGAAGTTTCTTTGTTAACGAATCAAAATCCACAAGAATAGTTAGGGAGAGGGTAGATCAAGGCAGGAATCAGGACCAAGACTAATATTTATTCTGATAAAAATACATAAAAGTTTAAATCCTCTTATATATAAAGCTCAGTTTCACACCTTGTGCATGATTTATATACAGAAGTTGAGAGTGCAACAGAAATCTAAAATTGGCCTCTTGTTCAAACTCGAAGCCCCGCAAGTTGTCCCAACAGTTTTGAGCATTTGACCTACTGTTTTCTAATTTTATCCTTGACCCGACCTTAGTCAGATTCCGGAACGAGCAAATTGTGCTAAAACCCGACAGTACTAGACAGATCAGAAAAATCTCCTTTTTCCCGTCTTGAAATATTTTAAGATAAAATAATACTCAACAGGTACTCTACGTCAACTAATTGTCATTTGGCTTTCTTTCCACTTCATCAGCATGCATGCATAGTATCAACCCAACGTCCTTTTTCTTTTTCTTTTTTTTTTTGAGATATTATGTAATTATTATTTAGCATCAGAAAGCTCAAATGGAATTAATTCCCCATTGTTATAATAATCGACCATACGGATGGACATAATGCACTTTATTTACAATATCTTGAGTTAAATCAATGAAATCAAAGTTTTTTTGTTAGATCTCTTACCATTCGTTCAAAATTATCAAAATTCTAATATTTTTATTTGTATCGAAATTCTATACCATATTTAAAATAATTCTTTAATCTTTTTCCATCTTAATCGTAATATTTCTCATACTTTCTTCTTCTTCTTCTTTTATTTTATTTTATTGCACCTGTATGCTGAGTAAGGAATGAGGACTGAGGATATTTGAACTTTAAACCTGATACAAATCAAGAGAGTGAGAGATATCCATTAATTAATTCCATCTTTGCCAGTCAAGCATATAGGAGTAGCATCGCTGTCCACTTCAATACAAACAATTCCACTGACCTAACGTTCGGATAATTTTATGCAGAAGAAGAAAGAATTTAATCTTGGGGTCAGAACATGGTGGAAGAGAAAAAATTTGCATCACCAAGGTGTATGATTTTGATCTTGAACCAAAAGACCATTGAGAAGTGGGCGCTCTGCATCTGCATTCCCTACCAACAATCTTTCCTCACGTCGCTGACCTCTGCCATCAAAATATTCAAGGGCAAGATTCAGAAGAGTGAAAGCACATAAAATAATAAGGGGTTCAATTTGAGAAAAAAAATAAGAAAATTAATAAAAGGAGCCATTAGCGTGGAATAAAAATCTCTGTACAATTAATTTTAG